ATCTCATCCCAGTCGGGGGCGTAATCCATCAAGCTCATGCACATAAAGTCCCCCAGGCGAGCATCCTTGAGCGCGCCCCTCTTCCACGACTTAATGATGTTCTGGCGGGAGAACCCCCGCTCGCACTCCACGGTGCTCAGCGGCAGTACAGCAACCGCCACCCACAGGAGCACCAAGTTGGGGTAGTTCTCCCGCCAGTCGGGAGTCTTGAGCATGGCAGTGAGACCCGCGTGGAAACTGCGCTCGCCCTTGGTAGATGCTGCAAGCACCGAAGTGAGCATGCGCAACTCCTTCTCTGCGCGGCGCTTGTCAATTCCTGACGGGATAGGAAGTAAAACAGGAGGAGCAAGCTCAGAACCCAAATTCAAACATTAATTGAAGCGACATGCAATACAAACGATACATCGGGATAGCCTGATATTAAAACCAAGCTGCTTAATGGCTTACCTGGCAGGATCTCATCCGTTAGGTCGGCCTTGAACAGCGTGACAAGCGACCGAAGCCACTCGAGGCACCTACGGTTCCTCTCTCCATGCTCCAGCGGGTACTCGTCGGGGGTGAAGAGCCTAGCGCCGGACATCCCGTTCAGGTCGCCAAGCCGGTGCTCGAGTTGGTGCACGATCACCTCGGCAAACTGTGTGCAAACCTCCACACAATCATCGTGGGTGGCGGGCCCTTCAAACTCCTCTAGCTCGTCCTCGTGCAGCACGAATTTGAAGCGTGCTGGTCGGCCGTCCGAATCAATCCCTTCAACCTTCACCTCCCGGTTTCCTCCAGGCCCATGGCGCGCGATGAAGGGGGACAGCAGCTCGCTGACGCCGCCTCCAAAGTCGTCTCCACAGTCGACGTAGCGGCTCTCGATGTGGGATGTTGTACGCTTGATCTGCGCATGCACGCTGGCATAATCAAGCTGGAAAAAAACACGTGGACATGTGGTTAGTGACTAAGGTTAGAAGAAACGAAGCTGGCATTAGCACAAAGACTTAACTAGTAACAAGAAACCAGAGCTTACCTCCTTGTGCTAGAATGCCCTGTTGAGTATGTGCGGCTGCTCAAGCACATCTGCAATGAAAAACAGGAGGAAATGAAACATGTAGCTCATCACCAGCGCATAAAGCGTCGCGTCCCACTCCTTCAACATCACGATGAGAGCCGGAAGGACGGCGACGAGTCTGAGCACTGCGTCGCCCCGCGAAAGCCAACGGACTGCATGGATCCCTTGCAGCTCCAGTGAGGTGGAGGTGAAGACTTCGTGCAGCCCCATGAACCGCTGATGCCATGGCCCACTTCGACCGAGATGCTCAGCCACGGTGCGGATCACCGTGTCAATGACGTTGAAGGCGAGAATCTTCTCTGCGGCTGTTTTAGCCGCCAGTGCCTCCCTGTAAAAACAAAAAAGGGAAACATTAGTCAAATGTAGCTGTTAAAGAACTTCAAAAAACCCTATGCACCTACAGGTTTACCTGTGAGCGATGCAGTGGGATGACACCAAATGGAAAATGCGCACGCGGAGGCGTGTCGTGAGGCCGCCCTTGCAGCCCATCATGACGTTCGCACCGTCGGTGCTGATGCCTGCAATGCGCTGCAGGTCGACCCCGACTGCCAGCAGGTGTGATAGCAGAACGCCCAGAAGAGAAGCGGCGTCGGCCTTCTCCACGGTGAGAAGCACCATGAACTCCGTGACGACCTTGAAGTCACGGACGAAGGTGATGAACAGGATCAAGTGCTTCCCGCTGCACCTATCCGTGCTCTCGTCAATCGAGATGCCGACGAAGGGCGACGATAGCACATGTTGCAGCTGGGTTGTCTGGAGCCATGTAGCTGTAGCTTGCGTCAGCTCACCGAAGCCGTATCTGCACATGGAACCAATAGTCACTAACAATTTAGATTATTAAAACGTGGGTACTTATAAAGAGGCGTACGGCAGTTGCACTCACGTGGTGTAGTAGGTGCCGTACCCTCTCTTAGGGAAGCCTTGCACGCCCTTCTCCGACAAGTACCGCACCAGTTTCACCCGCATCCCCATGGGCGCATTGGACCTGCTGATGAGCAGCAGCGAGTCCAGAAGGGCGACGGTTCGCATCTTCTCAGTGTCCACCGCGGCGCGATGTTGGTCGATCTGTGGCTGCCGTCCACCGCACTCCTCTTCATATTTCTGTCTCTCAACCGCCAGCTTGTGCTTCGTCGTGCCAGCGTGTTTACGGAAAGACTGTGTCTGCAGGTCGGTAGCGCCTCTCCCACGCCTCCCGCACTTTCCTGCATCCCCAGCAAAGGCTGCACAAACGGTACACTTGAACGCAGGCAAGCCGGTAGTGGTTTTAGTGATTATGAGCCACTGAAAACGGGTAGACCAATGATTTTTGAACTTGTCAATCGCTTCGTCGTAAACTCCCTCGATGAGCTCGGCCAGATTGATATTGAGGCGAGGTCGCGGTCGGTCAGATGTTCCGGGAGCGTTCGTGACGTTGGCAGTTGACGATGCAGGTTTGCCGAAGGTCAAGGTCGCCTGCTTGAGACGGGTCGTGCGCGCCGTGGTCTGAGTCGGAATCTGCGACTGTGAATCACCGGTTGGTTTCGCAGATGTCTCTGCCACATGGTCGGCAGAAAGTGAGAAAACTGGAGCCGCGGGTGCTTTCTGTATGGGAATCGTATCGGGCATGGCGCGTGCAGCTTTATCGAGATCTAGTGTACTAAGCAAGAAGTCCAAGCCTGTTAAGGTAGGCCGCTCATCAGGGTCGTCGTCGCCTGTGGCGGGATTGTCCAGCACCGCCATGGCGGGGCTGTCAAAGAGCCTGTCGAGCAGAAACTAACTACAGAGATGATGGCTGAGGCAAAACTGGGCACTGGCTTAGGCCCGTGAGATGTAGCTGAGGGGTGTGGATGAAACCCTGGCACAAAGACGAAGGCCCTTTACCAAGATGGGCCATCATTGAGTTGTGTGGGTGGTTGCCTACCATGCACGGCAACGACGAGGCGCATCGTTGCAGTGTGTGGTGTGGATGTTGCAGCATCGTGGTACACGATGCTGCCTAAAGGAGTGTCTGCTTGCCATCACGTTTACGTGGGTGGCATGGCAACTGCTGCAGCATCTGACACCGAGAGAAAGAACGCGCCGCAGGGCGGGTGAAACATCCAGCTGTACGAGGGAAACATCGGGCCGCAGGGCGGCGGTACAGGTACAATGCATGTAACCACAGCTAATCCTGGGTGTCGGCGCGCAGGTAGATTCATTCATAGTCGGAACTCGTTTGTACTCTGAATTCATCAGAGTACACTCCCGGAAAACTCTGAAATGTCAGAGTCAGCCTAGAGAAAAAATCTGATTTTCACAGACTTGAGACAATAAAAACTCTGAATTTTACAGAGTACACCCTAAAAAAAGTCTGAAATCTCAGACTAAAACAAGCAAATCAGACAAAAAAGTCTGACTTCTGGGGGCCTGTTCTCGACGAACGAGTGTACTCGGATGTCCCAGCTGTTGAAGCGTGCGTTGCTCACGTCCTCGCACTCCACTTCCATCTCGGAAGTGGGCATATCGAAACGAAACTTCCAGGAAACTTCATTTCGATAAGCTCGCAGAGTGCACCCCCGACACAAGGCTGAGGCTCAGCCTACACCCCTAAAAATTGGCTGAAATTTCAGCGGTTACAATAAAAAACTCTGAAAAATCAGAGAAGGTACATAAAAAAAAAAACTTACAGTTCAGACCAGGTACAAAAAAAAAGTCTAAATGGACGCTGAATCAGCGTAAAAAGTCTGATATCTAGGGCACTGGTTACGGGGCAGTAACTTTTCAGTTGTTTTTCGCATCTCCCTTTTCCGCGATGTGCTGGTAGGGGCAGGAAAAGAGGAGTGAGAAGAGTGAAGGTCAGAGAGAATGTTAAGCAGAGGAGGCCTGGGCAGTTTGACATGGGATGCGTGGGGGAGACATGAGACGAGTTAGTAGATGGCTTGGTCGATGCAGGGAGGAAGGAGTCAGGAGTCAGGCAGAGAGGTTCACTTTCCTGAAAGCAAGTGCCAAGACGGGTATTTTTATGCAACACGGGGTGAGGGCGCGATGCATAAGCGCGGCGCCAGGAATTAAGTTCGGCGATGGCACTACGAGACGCCGTACCTTGAGCGAAAGACAGCGCCAGGATTGCAGCGAGGAAGATTGCGAGGGCGACGGAGAGAATGGGGCGAGCCATGGCGTTCTGCGTGATGGACTGGCTGGGAGGGATTGAGAGAGCTAAGAATGGAAATATGAATTGAGTCTGATGGTTAGTGCCCGTTTTGCGGCAGAATTTTATAGACGGGATGAGCCCGTTTGCATGGACGAAGAATAACGAGAGCGCGACATTGAGGGGCGTCCGTTTCTACCTACAGCTGTGAAACGCGCAAGAGTACTCACGAAAGGAGACTGGTTGGGCTGCTGAATGTGAATTATGCAATTTCGGTGATAATGCAAGTGCAATAATGCGCAAGCTGCCCCGTGTTAGAACCTGTGACGCGTTGACTCTCCGTTGGGCTGCTGAAGAATTGTGATGCGTTGAGGGTGGAGATGGAGGATCTACGGCTCAATTTCAATCCTCTAAGGTGTAGAATGTTTCGTCCTGCGACCCAGGAAGCCAGCTCGACATTCCATCTTTCTTCCTTACCGCGTACTCAGGAGCTTCATTGGCTACCGCAGATGGCGGTGGAATTGGAAGAACAAGCGAGCTGCAACAATTCCAGTGAGAGATTGTTCATTACTCGCAAGAATGAACGAGAAAGTACGTTTGGTGCTTCTTGACGCTTGATACGAAAATGGGCACTCGTTACTTATATCCTGTACAGAAATCAAACTTCTATTTGAACATACATTCCCAATGCGTTCTGAATAGCAACAATCCACCCTTTTGCACAGATTCACTACGAAAACCCAAAAGAAAACACCACCGAAGCATACCCCATAACGATATTCTTTCCCCACCATGCCCACTAGTAGAAATCACTTTTTGGCGCTTGGCCTTGCTGAGTTACTAGGCTTGCTTGCTCCTCCTGCCAGAGGATACTCGGTCTGCAAAAACAGGGACAAGGGAAGGAGAAAGGGCAGAATAACAGAATGTGCACACAGGGTGAGATGGTTTCTCATGCACTGGAAGGGACACCTGGCCTGTGGCGGGTAGTTATGGAAAGATGATGCGCACTGAAAAAACAAATGGAATAGGCATTTGTGAGTGGTAAGCCAGATGGCACAGCATGTGACGCCACATCACGCACGTGACTTACCGCTGGCCTCATGCACTGCTCCATCTATGCTTTTAAGGCGGCTCAAAAGTGTCTTACCCGTACTGGCTTGCCTCCGCACCGCTCAATCTGCGCCAGCACTTCTTCCTTGCACTATGCTCTATTCCCAAGGCGGCTCAAAAGGGCCTTAGGGTAAATTCTGAGCCGTCCATGCTTACCCGTACTGGCTTGCCTCCGCACTGCTGAATCTGCGCGAGAAGGTCTTCCTTGCACTTGTCCATGCTCTTCTGCGTTCTCACGAGGGAGAGTGAGTAGCAGTCCTGCACTTTCCGCTTGAACACCAGACTGCAGGGCGTGCCTGCTCACGGGGAGGCACTGCAGGAAGCAACGGGCAGGTGTGGGATCTGAACGCCCATGATTTGACCTAAAATAACCCTGCATGAAAAAGGCTCAGATTTTTTCAGAGAAGCGTCCCTCGCAATTGTCGGATACACCAACAACAGGAACGCGAGCGGGGCGCTCTGGTCATTCATGCGATCTCTGGAACCGTGCGTAGCAATATTACGAATAAAATCGGTCATCGTACCGTCATCTGCCTTGCGCATTCCAGCCAGGAGTTTGTTCGCATCATCTGCAATAACTCTGACGCCTTGAGCGCACGAGACGCAGGAGAGAGCCAGAACTGCAGCGAGGAAGAGCGCGAGGCCGACGGAGAGAATAGAGCGAGCCATGACGATACGATATAAACTGAAGGCTCCAGAAATACGTGGCTGGATGGTGGCGGCTGTTCGAGTAGCACGCTAGTAGTACTGCTAACAATGCTGTCACAGCGAAGTAAGATTGGCTCCAGCATAGTGACATACTTTATACGTGCGAGGAACGTGGGCACCATTGGCTGAGGGGAAAAAACGTCACATGCCACAGAATAATTATTCTGCGTAGCGCTGCTGCCGCCGCCGAATGCGGAAGGCTACGGGTGATATTTTGTGCGGCTAAGGCTTGGCAAATGATGTTGGGCGTGTGGGGTGGGGAAGAGTCACAGTCGCGAGATTGGAGGTATTGGTGCGGTGAGACGTTGTTTTAGTGCGTTTAGACGCGGTTTTGACTTACCGTGGCGATTATTGGTTTTGCGATTTCGCATAATGGCGGAGTTCGCCAGCACCAATGAAGCGAAAAAACACGGGCCCTGTTCTGTTGGCGCACAGGCCATTCGCAGCTGCCGCACAGGTACTGCGGACAGCGTTTTCCTCGACAGAAAGGGAGGGACTGAATCCTCGTCGAAGGGTTTACTAATCGACAAAAATACGAACTTTTTTCTCCCGTGTGCCCAATTTTTTTTCCACCCGATACCCGTTTGAATCTCCCATACTTGGGTTGTGTTCCGGGCTTATAGTGTTCTGGGAATTTCGCCCATTTCGTTCCATTTCGCCAGGGTGTTAAGGTGCTTCTAAAAAAAACAGGTTGTAACTCGTTTGTTTTTCCAAAAAAGTTCTGGTGGGCCTGTGTTGTTGTTAGTTCAAGGTTTAGGATTTATGTTTGTTTCTGGCCAAGAAACAAGAACACACCGGGTCAGCATGGTTTGTTTTGCGCCTAAGATTCATACTTTGGCGTTTTCTTGCCCAAATGCAACTTGATCCGCGTGCCTATAACGTGGGTGCAACTGACTTGGAAAAAAAACACGGGTGCAGAGTTTCTGAAATGGGCAAGGCAAATTCGCGCGCAATGGTTGGGCATCATGTGTACACACTGACCTGGCACTCTTCAAAGGGAAATTATACATGCAGTCGCAATTAAGCCCGTTTTATCACGTTTGGTCACAGGGGTGTCACGAACAGTCACACTACAACACATTTCTATCGCGGGTGATTACAGTGCTATGGCAGGTGGTGAAGTACCTTGGGCTAGAGATCTTGCGCGACAGGCCGGCCAAGAAGCTGTGGCTGCACCAGCAGGGCTACGACGACAAGCTGCGCAGGCGCTTCATCGACGAGGAGCTGGGCGGTCGAGTCCCGAAGACGCCAGTCTCAGTTGACGCCTACGCTCAGCTGACGTTCGACGACGAGGAGGCTCAAGAGCGCGAGGAGGAGTACCGGCAGAAGGTCGGCTCGCTGCATGTCGCGGCGACGACGACCAGGCCGGACATCGCGTTCGCCTGCAACAAGCTGGGGAGCGGCCTCACGGTGAGGAGCGACCAGCATTGGCACTAGGTCGACCGCTGTCTCGCCTACCTCGCCGACACCCGCGACACTGCCCTGGAGTTTGGCGGTGGACCAGAATCGTTGGAGCTGATCGGCTACGTCGATGCCGACGACGCAGGCGACAAATAGAGCCGGACGAGCACGGGAGGCTACGTGTTCGTCTACGGAGGGGCCGCAATCTCCTGGTCGAGCTCGTGCATCAAGTGTGCGACCTTGTCATCGACCGAGTCGGAGTGCGTGGCGGCAACGGACGCCGGCAAGGAGGGGCGTCGACTTCACTTCCTCCTTGCGGAATTCAAGCTGCTCGACGCTGGGAAGCCAACCATCCTCCGCGTCGACAACAAGTCGGCAATTACAGTCGCTGAGGGCTTGGGGCTGACGGGCAACCTCAAGCACATGGAGCGACGCTACGCCTGGCTGCAGCACATGGTGAGGCGCGGGAAATTTGTGCTGAACTACATCCCTACCACCGAGCAGCCGACGGACTTCCTGACGAAGGCGCTGCATTTTCCGGCTTTCAACCGGTACTGTGTCGCCATCGGCCAAGTTTGCCTGGTCGACGTCGGTGACGGCGACGACGAGGTGCAGCAGTAGGTGCCGTGCCCTTCTGCACGGCTGGTGCGGTGACGGCGTGCTGTGTGTGGGGTGCACGCCGAGGACGAGTTTTCTCCGTGGAGTACTGCCGTGTGGGCTGGAGGCCCAAGCGTGAGCGCGGCAGGGGAGTGTTAACAAGAATGGAGTGTTGGCCCCGCCCTCGCTTGGGCAATGCCGACGACTTGATCGGATGCACGGGAGTAGCAGCCGGCTGTTCATAGTGGGATAGCTGCTCGACAGGTTACGTCGAGCTGCACCGGACCGCTGTGGTGTTGCTGTCGACCAAGGAGCTCGACAGCTGCAACTGACTGGTCTGTGCGACGGGTGGGCCGTCCGGGAGGTTGACGAAGCAGTCCGTCGACCTACAGTTCGACGGGGAGGTCTACGGAGCATACTGTCAAACTCCAGCTCAACCGGGAGGTCTGGAGAGCATCCCGTCGACCTGCAGTTCGATTGGGAGGTGGACAAAGTAGTTCTGGTCGACGGAAGGGGTCCGTCGACCAGGGGGTAGCTCGACGGGAGTTGTGGTCGACCAGGAGCGCCTGGTGGTCGACCAGAGGGACCCAGTGGTCGACCGGAGGCACCTGGGGGTCGGCCAGAGCACCAGGGGTCGACCAGGTGGACCGGGTAACCTGCTCGACGAGTTCTGCGGAGGCTCGCGAACGTCGTCGAGATCGCGATGGCGCAGGCGACTTCGAACTGGTATCCCGAAGTCGATGTGGCTTGTCAGGCGCAGACAACAGCCGACGGATGCCCAACGAGGCAAGTCGGGCCAATCGTCTGCGCACACCTGAGAGCGCGCGCACTGCTGTGTTCTACGGGGCACGCCGTCGACCTGCTTTGTTGGCAGGTCGCCCTTCTACAGTGCTGGCGCGGCTCCTCTATGCAATGCTGGCAGGCGGTCGACCGAGCTGCGCTGGCGGTCGACCAGGCTAGCTGCAGGGTTGCTAGGTGCCTGATGTAGTCATTGTTGTCATTGCTTCTTGGATTATTCTGGGATTCTCAACTTTGCTAGTGGAAAATCTTGCCAATTTCTCCCGTGAATGTGCAAGCACTAAGGAACCAAGCAAAGCTACGATCACCTCTAGTAGTTCGTGCCAACCCTGTAGTCCAGCTCACAACCGTTGTAGAGTGTATCTCCGCATGGTGCGGTGAGCGCGGATCGAACACGCGACCTTCAGATTGGAGCCGACTTTTGCACCTACTAAGTCGTTCGTAGGCCGGCAGCAGCGATAGTTGCCATGGTCGATCTCGTGGTTGATGCGGGTGTAACGGACACCTTGGAGGCACGTTTGGCTGACGCGAGGAGACGCCACGTGGATGGCGAGTACGGGACGATCCCCTTGGTGATCGCCGAGTTGGGCATTCGGTCGCAGTGGGCGACGAAACACCCTTCCCGTCCTACTTCTCCTCGTCCGGTGCGCAACGAAGGTGGCGTCGACGACGAGGTCAACGGTGGTGCACGAGTCAGCGGCAGCGAAGGCACGAGGCAGAGAGGAGTGATCAAGGTCGACGGTGGTGTGGACGGAATCCAGTGTCATAACATATATGTAGCTTATGCTGTTGTGTAGGCTACAGTGGGGTATACCATAGGGGGTACAACCCAATTAGGGTTTTGCTATTTGTACTCACTTCACTCATAGTTCATTCATTCTCGCTCTATTATCCACATCCAGGCGCGAGTGCAGCGGTCGACGGCGGCTGCAGGCAGCTCGCACGCCAACGTCGATGTTCGACGTCGCTCTCCTCTACGAAGTGGTGGCGGGCTCTCGGCGACGACGCATGTGACGGCGGGCGAGATTGCACCGGCGTATGGCTACTTCAAGTTTTCGCCGGATCGAATCACCGTCGCTCCGCTGCAAGGTCGACGGGACCTCATCACCTAGAGGGTGTCAGAACATTATAGCTTACTTATTTGTGTAGGCTATAGTGGGGTATCCCATAGGGGGTACAACCCAGCTAGGGTTTCCTATTTGTACTCACTTCGTTCATAGTTCACTCATTCTCTCGTTCACTTCTTGTCATGGAATCAGAGCAGGTTCCCCTGTGGGAACTGTGCTTCGGGCCCACCACCTAGAACTTTTTTTTCTGCCCTGGCGCCCTCCCTAGTGCCCGCCCTAGCACCCGCCCGTTAGCGCCGCCCGTTAGCGCCGCCCGTTAGCGCCGCCCGTGCGGCTGCCCGTTCGCGCCGCCCTTCGCGCAGCCAGTAGCGCCGCCCGTGCGGCCGCCCGTTAGCGCCGCCCGTGCGGCCGCCCGTAGCGCCCCCCGTGAGCCGCCGCCCGTAGCGCCGCCCGTGAGCCGCCGCCCGTCGCCACCCTTTAGCGCCGCCCGTGAGCGCCGCCCGTGACGCAGCCGCCCGTGAACCGCCGCCCGTGACGCCGCCGCCCGTGACGCCGCCGCCCGTCCCGTCGCCCCCCCCCCCCCCCCGTGACGCCGCCGCCCGTCCCGCCGCCCGCCCGTCACGCCGCCCGCCCGTGAGCCGGCGCTGCCCGCGAACCGCCCACCCGTGGGCCTTCAGCCCGCCCGTGAGCTGCCGACGCCGCCCGTGAGCAGCCGACGCCGCCGCCGCCACCCGTGAGCCGCCGACGCCGCTGACGCCGCCCGTGAGCCGCCGACGCCGCTGCCGCTGCCGTCGCCCGTGAGCCGCCGACGCCGCCGCCGCCGCCCGTGAGCCGCCGACGTCGCCGCCGCCGCCCGTGAGCCGCCGTCGCCCGTGAGCCGCCCTGGCCGCCCGCCCAACCGCCCGTGAGCTCCCCGCGCGCCGTCCCAGCCGCCCGTGAGCCGCCACCAAGCTGCCCCAGCCGCCCGTGCCGCCGCCCGAGCCGCCTGAGCCGCCCGAGCCGCCCGGGCCGCCCGCGCCGCCCTAGCCACCCGAGCCGCCCGAGCCGCCCAAGCCGCCCGAGCCGCCCGCGCCGCCCGAGCCGCCCGAGCCGCCCGAGCCGCCCGAGCTGCCCGAGCCGCCAGAGGAGCTGCTCTCCTGCTCTTGTCGGGCTACTGCTGCTCCTGGGCTGTGTACCTGCGCCGCTGACCTACCCGACTCTTCCTGCCCGGTGAGACTGTCAGCTGCTGTCATGGCCACCCCCAATGTCCTAGCTTTTGA